TATGACTCTCCCCTCCCCCTAAACAGCACAATCTCAAAGCCACAGTGTTTACATCTGATATATTCCTATATATTTTTGAGAAATGACTGGCTGAGCTGACTAAAAGTGAGCAAAGTAATGTTATCCACTAAAGCATTAACAGTACAAAATGTCTCCAGGAATTCACTGAAATAACAAAATAATAACACTGAGAGAAAGGAATTAATGTGGCTCAACAACAGTCAGTAAAATGAATGCTGTTTCTGTCAAAAAATATAATATTCCAATATTATTTAGTATGACTGGCAGAATCAAATATAGTGAAAAAGATTACTAATTCAAGATGCAGTGGGTTCTCTTCCAAAAGCTCAGGTTCATGGTGTTCCTCCAGAGCACCAGATGTCTGCCCCCAGGCTCTCAAACACCTAACAGCCCACACAGGAGAGCTGTTGACTTCCCACTTCCATGATGATGTATTACAGATGAGAACACAAAATGAAAGACTCCTTAAAAACCTGTTGTTTATTAAATCATTTAACTTCAGGTCAAACAGTGAGACTCTGGTACACTGGTGACAGATTTCTGGTACACTGAAATACTTTGAAGATGAAAATTTTAAGTCAAAAATGAAATACTCATAAAAAGGAAGACGGCTCTCTTTTGTGGGCTCACCAAAGAGGAAAATAAGAGAAAATTCCATCACTTTATTGCTAAAAATACTATGTGCTGATATGGGAAACACTCCCTTTGCTCTACCTCTGTCTGCCATAAGTGCAGCATTTTGAAAATCTAATTCTTGGATGTTAAAGGGGGGTAGGGGAGATGCAGCCTAAGTTTAGAAAAAAGTAAAGCATCAATAAGTAAGAGTGAATTTGTTTACTATCACCTTTGAGGTACAAAATACTGAAAAGATGATTTGGGTAAAATTCCTCCTTTAATAAACCATACAGTTCTCTCTCAATAGGGTAAAAGCAGAAATAGAAACATTTCAGAATGAAAGAAACTTCCCTTCACCGAACAACTAACCCTCTGTATGGAAAGGCTCTAATGAAAATGTAGAAGGTCTATTACCTCCATCTAATACTAAACATATCAAATCAAACATATCCCATCTCCCTATTACATATGTGTGTACGTATGCATATATGTATGCATATACACGCAGGCAGACAGAATAATGATGCTTATGATATGGTAACAGGGCCTGGTTATACAAGCTCAGATTCTAATCTATAAGTATCAAACCTGGCTCTAAGGTATTTACATAAAACTCTGGGAAATTCTTAAACTTTTTGGACTTACTGTTTTTGGCAAAACAGAAGCAATAATTATGATTATCACACAGGTTTATTTTGAACATTAACTGAGCTGAAACAGTCATGAGAACTCTACTAAGTGCTTAGTTAATGCCAACCACTATAAATTTCTATTATTTTCTCATTTGACTCTTCTGACATACCTGTGAGGTCGGTATTATTACTCTCAGCCCATAAGGAAGATTAAGTAATTTGCTCAAAGTCCCACAGTGATAAAGAAGAATTTGACTCAGGAGTTGTCCAGTTACAAGTCTATGCTATATAGCATTTCATATTCCTCAGAAATCTGGCTCTTATGTTACAATGTTTACTGAGATGTAGTTCGCCCTCACAGTAAACTATGAGGACAGAGACTGGACCCTATTTATCCATTCCAGCCCTTTGTTTACTACTGCCCACTCATTCATATTTCAGAGTTTCGATTTCAAGTGTTGTGGTAGGTACCCTGCTAAACAGGACAGACAAGTAAAAAAGCTAGGTGTTAGTAAGAATGTAAGAGATAAAGCTCATTCTATTGAGAGAAATCAAAGCAGGCCTTTCTAGGGAAGAGACATTTCAACTCAGATAAGAATATTGAGTAATGATTAACAAAGCAAAGAAATGGGGATATAAAACACTGTGCAAAGGATCCTAAGAAGTGAACTCACCTGGTGTGTGAGGAAGGAAAGCCAGTATGGCTGGGAAGGAGTCAGTGTGGCTGACAAATGGGGAAATGGCCAACTATGAAGTGAGAAGGGAGTGATAAAAAAGTAGCAATTAAATCAGTTTTATGGACTTGGGAGTTCATCATTGGTCCAACAGCAATTCCAGTTGTTTTTTAGAAAGTTCACTCTAGCTTCAATGTGGACACTCCAAGTGGACAAGAGAAGAAGCTGGGAAACCCACTGGGATGCTCTAATAGTTGATAAGGGGAAATGTAATGATTTGGGACCAGAAAGTTGGTGAGAGTGTAGGAAGTGTAGATTCAAGGTACAGCCACACCCCATGCCTAACACACTGACACTAACAAGAATTCCATAATCTTCTGACTGAGTGAATGAGTGAGTTCCCAAGCAGAGTTGTTGATGCTAAGGCATCCACTAACCCACAGATGCATGACCTCCCCCTGAGAACTAAAATTATCCAGTGGACATCAAGACATAGTATAATGTTAAAGAAATGATTATTAAATTCATAAACCAGTTGGCAAGATTCCAATCACAAAAACCTCTTGATGTGTAAAAAAGTACCTTCTGAAACAAAATGCCTTTTTTACTCTAACAATGGAAAATTTTAGAAACCAGGTATTTTCTGTGATGTGACATTCCAACTTGTTGGAGAAATGCATTATTTAAAGTTGCCTGGAGCTATGCTGCTAGAAACACAATAAAACTCTAAAGGTGCTAAAAGAAAGCCCTTTCTTTCAAGAAACATAAAACTGTAATTAGATAATCTATACTTGCTTTTCTACTTTTCATCTTACAAAACAAGGCCTTTGTTATTACTTCCTAAAACAGCGAGATATTTTTGATTATCTAATAACAACAAATTCAAATGTAGAGTTACCATATTTTTGTAGAGGTCTGGACAAGGTCAGGACAGAATGTCTTATCCATGTTATTTAATAATTTTGAACTTTCACTGATATAATATTTATTTTACTGGAACTATAACAATAAAACAATTTGGAAAAAATTCAGTGTTTGTCCATGTGGCTAAGAGAACAAAAGAATTTCTGATAATAGTCAACAGGATGCAAAGTCTAATAATTAATCCCATTACCTCTGAAAATGGTTTTTCATCCTGAGAGCATAAATAGCAATACCGAATGGGTAGTCAGACTTGCTTAATATTAGTTGCTCTTTTGCTAGGATTATATTAAACCTAAAATAAGTATGAGTTTCTCAGTAATTAAAGCTCTTTTTAACCACTACATTTAGAGAGTATAATGTTAAACGTGTATAATGTTAATCTTTTAAGTTAAAAGAGTATAATACCTATGCTAGGGTGATAAGCTCAAATAAAGTCTAATTTTGCTATGTAAGCATCAGCAAGAAGTTCATCCAAGAGACTTGCATTTTGATCAAAAGGCCAATTACTAACATCCTCACTATTGCTTCTAAAGAATATCAAAATATAGGAGGTAAGAGGGATTGGCTTGCATTTCTACATAAAAACCTTAGAAAATGTAACTAAAAATATAACCTGTCTTCTTCCATTTGGTGGAAAAACCACTATTCCCTACATTGAAAACAAAGTTTTACATGGTACTCTCTATACCTATAAAAAGTTTTTAGATCTTAAAAATGTTTTTCTGTAGACCCAAAATAAAGATACATATGAGCATCAAATAATGCTTTGATCCTGTTATTATAACAGCTATTAAAAATTTTGGTGACTATGGCAAACGATAATAGAACATTTTATTAAGAGGTTTAAGGTTGTATAAAACAAAGTTATAAAATGTTCTATCTATCCTTTATAATTCAAGAAAACAAGATAATATGATGTTAGCTAATATTATTTTAACAACAGATGCACAAATCATTAATATAATTCACATAAACAGAGAGTAATGAATAGCTTCCAATTTATGCTATTCCCACTTTATTAAAAGCTCTTACTTCCTCTTACTTTTTTAGCACTGTATCTAGTACAAATTCATCTTTATTAGTAGGAAAAATAATACCAACAAGGAAAATAAAAGCCTAAACATAGGCTCTATATAGTTTTTAATAACAAAGAAAATTTAGATAACAGCCTAACTTAAAGGTAATATTTGGCTGAAAGTAAGCAAATTTTTAATGAAATCTTAAGCAATAGTCTCTCTCATACTAGTTATAAAATCAAATATTATTTTAAGTATCAGAGTAATCTCAGGTAGCAGAGAGCTCAACTTAGTGAAAATTGAATATTTACATTTTCTACTAAATAATCTGATCATAGCAAGACCATGGAAGATATCACTCATGAGGAATATAGAGAAATTAGAGAAATAAAACAAAGGAAAAGACAAAACCACGCCAAACCAAAGCCTAAAATCTGATTGTGAGGCTACAAGAGGAGCAGAGGAGGGTGAGAAGCACAGTCAAAGGGAGTCCAGTGGACTATGATGGAGGACTACGAATACCGTGGTGGTGGGTGTGCTGTGGCAACAGATCTCAAGAGGCATGAATCTATACTTCTGAATAATATAGTATTAAAAATCACTGTTATCTCAATTACAAAAATTACAAGAAAAACTCACTTGATACAAAATAAAATAATAAAACAAATATATTCTAAATTGTCAAATGTAAAAAGGAATGATGAATATTTCTAAACTGAAGCAAGTATCATTAAAATGAGTTATTTTAATTTATTTAAAACCACATAGTGTGAACTGCAAACAGTATAAAATATTGCATCCATCACCCCTCATTTGAACCAAAAATCTTAAACTTTCAGATTATTTATTTTTTCAAGTTATAAATAGGCAATATTTATTATGAGACAAAATCTCTGGATATTTTCTTAAGAGTTTGCTTCCTTTACCTTGGGAAATCCCAGACTACAGTGATATCTAAGAAATACGATTAAATTAGTTTAATTACTTCATGTCCACTTGATAAGTTGCTGCTCTTTAATGTAAAAACTGCTACTAGTAATTAATGACTATTCATACTGCTTCAATTGATCAAATGTCTAATACACATAAAACATCGAAAGAAGTTTTGTATATCTTACAGCAATTCAGTGGAGAAGTCTTGTCCCAAGGGTATGTAAATCTGAAGTACAAGAAACCTCTGGATCAGTCCAACTAAAATGAGAGGGGGATAAAAATAAACATTCAAAGGTCTAAACCATTTATATATATGTGCATACAAACAACCACACACTATCAACCACCTGAAATTTTTAGCATTTCAGCAATATAGCACAGAAATGCCATAGCACTACTCATGAGTTATAACCTCATTAGGAAAGCAAAAAACAAACAACAACAACAAAAAACTGATGAAAATAAAAAAAACTAACAACAAATGTAGTTTCTTAAAGTCCATTCTATAGGTCTGGTGGGTGAGTTTTTATGAAACTTTTAAAAATAATTTTTACTATTTTTATTAGGTTGGAAGAGAATATACACATATTTTCAATAGAGACATATTCAATAGAGACATATAAAATGGAACTATGGATTCTCATCAAGGCAGCCATAAAAGAATCTGGCAATTATTTTTATTCACTGATAGTTTTAACTGTACTAAACAGCTTAATAAAAAAACAATAGATCAAGAAAAACAATTCTAATTATAACTTCTATTGAAGGTTTGGAGAGCCATATGTAGTTCATATGACTTTATATGTGTCCACATTGTGATGTATGAAGGAATCTAATTTTATTTGTAATAATCTCTTACTAATTTAACACATTTTTAACTAATTTAATGCTCCAAATTAAGAACTGATAGTTTCTTTTTAAGATTTATTTATTTATGCATACAGAACTGGGCTAAAGGCCAGAGGTGCAGGGGCAGTGAGAGGATTCACCAGAGACAGAGTGGGGAGCAAAACAGGCAGATCTACAAAGTACACTGCTGAGGGGAGCAGTGAGTGGGCCAGGAGAGGTCTGCACCATCATGCAGATCACCTCTGGGGCAGGGATTGAACTCATGCTTCAGTGGCTTTAGCTTCTTCATGCTGTGCTTTAACCTGCTGCACCACTAGAGAGGGCCCAGAACCGATAGTTTTTATTCCCCACCATCAGCTTTATTTGAATTAAAAATATCTGGCGCAAAACTAATCCCTATGACACTTTTGATACTGGAAACCTATAGTAACTTCCAAAATCAACTGGTTTTACATTAGTTCTTCAGCCCCATTCACTTAATTTCTTCCCTCTTGTATTCTGCATTTTGCTTGATTTCTCAATTATGATGTTTGTAATGGATGTTTTATTATCACGTCCTTGTGAACACACTTTTGTGGACCTTTTACCCTGACTTGGGGCATTTAAAATGTAAACCTCTCCTACAAATCAACACACCATAAGGATAAAAGCCATTTGGGATGACAACTGGTTTAAAATGCAGGCAAAAATAACAAATTTATTATGAATTAGTAGGTTTAGCAACTTTAACTATTTTCAAGATAACACATTTGAATATTCTATATAAAAAAGACCTTATTTATAATTTTTATAGCAAACTGTTCTGCTACATTCCTGAACAATTAAAACATTTCCTATATTTTACCTAAAATTTAGTTTCTAAACAATAAATATATTTGATCAAATATGATTAATATTTTTAAAATCAAACATGCAATGGTAACTTTCCTTAAAATACTAAGCTTATAAATGACTCCAGAATAATTCTGTATATAACATAGTGGAAATAGGAAGTAACAGGCTCTGATCTTGGAAAATCCTCTAAGAATGAATTCTACCATATTTATGAGAAAAGCTAGTGAGGTAACGAGAGTTCTTAACTATAAAACCAAGTGAGATACCAAAACTGAGGCCAACTTACATAACCCATCATTAATCAATCTCTCCCTTGCATCTTCCACTGGTTAGTTCTATGGCATCTTTCTACTGTACAATGTACTGCTGCCATAAATATTCAAGGGAGCATCAAGATTAATGAAATCCGTCTTTACAAGAGGTCCCTAATTTATGTCACAAACCTCACTGAATTGGCACTGTTCTCTTCTAATACAAAGAACTACACATATAGGCATTTTTGTGAACATTTTTATATATGAAAGATGCTCACCTTCAAAAAAAGAAAGCTTCGCAATTCAACTTTTCATATATAGAACACCTAGTTTCCAAAAAGCTTCACTTCAAAAATTAAAAGTAGTATGACAATACCATTGGACATGGTTTGAAAAAAAAAAACAAAACAAAAAAAACCCACTTAAACAACATTTGACATACATTGAATCTGAATGTCAGAAATGCTAAACAAACTCTATAAACATATTTTTCCTCCAGTGGCCTAGTAAATTTAAACTGACTCTTCATGTTTATATTTAAAGTCATTCTTTCTAAGTAATGCTGAATGGAACAACTGTTAAGTCAAAAAATGACCATCAAATACAAAATATTCATACATATTATTCATACATATGTACTGAAATATGAAGATTTCTGCAGCTTTAATATCTATTCTCTACCAGATGCAAACTACCTCTATTTTTTTAAGGGACCAGGTCCTTTTTTATCTTAAATAGTTTAAAACACATTAAATTTTTAACAGATTTTCCAGTTGTTTCATGACAACAAATTATAGTTGTATACCTCATATACATTTTACAACTGTGATGCCATCCAAAGAGATAGAACTAGGTTACAGAGCAGTCATTCTTTACAAGTGTCCTGGGAAATCATGAGTCTTTCCCTGAGCCCTGGCACAAGCAGCACACTCAAGTGCACCTTCCCATTTAATACAGAACACAGGAAACATGCCTTCACTTAGGGCTACCCCACAAGTCTTTGGGCAAATCATTAAATCCGTCATGCATAAAATTAGATTATTAATTTAAACATATACCTTGCACGACGATTTGTATGGGCCTTTCCATTCAATGAATATCATATCTACTGAGCATCAACTATGTGCAGGACTCAGTGTTGAAATTTTAACCATGAATAAGACATAAGTCTCTGCCCTCCTGAAACTTATATTCTAGTTGCATGAAGAAGGTCAGGTTACTATGAAAGCATATAACCCTAGATCTTATGAGGGAAGGGAATGATGAGTGAAGATTTTCCTGAAGAAATAACATTGGAATCCAGCTGGGAAGAACAAAGAGTAACTGACTGGGCAAAGAAGACAGGGACAGGAGACAATAACGAATGTTAGAGAAAAAGGCTACAGCAGACTAGATGAACTTAAAAGTCCTAATGGGCTGATAGGAAAGAGAAATGGAAAAACAGCAAGAGGTAAATCTGGCAAATAGCCAGGACTCAATCGTGTTGTTTTTTTTTTTGGCCTCTAAGGCCACACAAAGAAGATAGGTCATCCTAAATCATTTTATTCAACAAAGATTTACTGGTAGTCTACTGCTGCCAGACACTGACCTAGGTGAATAAAACAGTAGAGCTTTGGTGAAGCTCATTTTCTCTGGTAATAGATACAAAAAACATAGTATATTAAATGGTGATAAGTACTATGGAAAAATGTAGAACAGATAAATGGGATCAAGAATGGAAAAGTGCATTAAAACACAGGCCTGGCTGGGTTTTCACTGAGAAGGCCTGTGAAGGGGGAAGACAGAGCCACAAAGTTATTTGGAACAAAGAACGCTCTAGGTATATAAGGTGTAGCCTGTGTGTTTGAGCTAAGGTTATAACATGTCAAGCTATGTTCCAAATAGCAAGGAGACCTCTATGGTTGAAGCACAGTGAACAAGGACAAGAGTAATTAAGAGATAAAGGTTAGAGAATTAGTAGAGCATCAGATCCTGCTGTTCTATAGATTTTTGTGTGTTTTTTTTAAGGATTTATTTATTTATTTGTACAGAACTGGGGTACAGGCCAGAGATGCGGAGGGTGAGAGGATTCACCAGGGACAGAGTGGGAAGCAGAACAGGCAGATCGACGAAGTACACCGCTGAGGGGAGCAGCGGGCGGGTCAGGAGAAGAGGTCTGCCATGCCATGTGGATCTCCTCCGGGGCAGGCGGGGATCAAACTCATGAGGAAGTGGCTTAAGCTTCTTTGTGCTGTGCTTTAACTCGCTGCGCCACCAGGGAGGGCCGACTTTTGGTTTTTACTCCAAGAAAGATAGGGCTTTTTCAGGGGAGCTCTGTTTCACATTTAAAAGTACCACTGTGGTGGTTTAGCTGGTAACCCACAGACTGTAAGGAAGCAAGTCAAAAACACGGGCAGTTAGAAGACTATTCAATAATCCAAGCATAGGTCAGTGGCCTGGACCAGGTTGGTAGCATTACAGGTAGCAAAACGTGGTCAGACATGAAATCCAATTAAAAGAGAACCAACTAGGCCCTCCCTGATGGCGCAGTGGGTTAAAGCACCACACTAAGAAGCTAATAGCCACTTCTGCATGAGTTCGATTCTCGCCTGCCCTGGAGGTGACCACATGGCGTGGCAGACCTCTCCTGACCCGCCCGCTGCTCCCCTCAGCAGTGTACTTCGTCGATCTGCCTGTTCTGCTCCCCACTCTGTCTGTCTCTGGTGAAGCCTCTCGCCACCGCTGAGCCTCTGGACTGTACCCCAGCTCTGTATGCACAAATAAATAAATCTTTTTTTTTTTTTTTTTTTAAAAAAGAGAACCAATTATATCTTTCTTGTGGATTCAATGAAGAAAAATCAGGCTAATTTACGAGTTTTGGTCTGAACTACTGAAAAAACAATTTGTTAATAACTGAGATGGGGCTTTTTACAGGGGGGAGGAATACTTTCTGGGGTTAAGCTATCCAAGGAGAAATGTCAAGTAGGTATCGAATATAGAATATGTTCTCATTTAATGCTGTTGAGCCTTGGAAACTGTAACTTTAAGTGAAATGACACATAATAAAAACAGTTTTATCATTTGCTAATTAATAGAAATAAGAGTTAAGTTTCTATGGAATAATTCTGGTCACAATACAAGTATCAAACTTCCAAATAAAGACCAAAAAGTCCCCCAAAACTATGTATGTTCATCTTTAGGATATGGGAGGAAACTGGACTACTTAGAGAAAATTCATGCTGACCTGAGAGAACTTGCAAACTCAGACAGTGGCCCCAGCTGGGAACTGTATTTTTTCCCCTTAGTTTAAATTAAATTATGTTATCTGAGGATTTGATGTACAAGTCTGTACATCAGAGAAGAGAGAGAAGTCTGAGTTGGAAAAGTTAGCTGTTTACATAGATGTTTATGTTGACAGAGTTGCTTCTCATAATTCTGTATAACATGTTCCAAGGTGCAGAGAATAGATTTATTTCCATGGCTATAGATTTACTTAAATGTGGCTACAATTAGAAATTATAACCCAAATTGTTGGAGTGTTTTAAAGTGACAAATGTAGAAACTTACTAAACGCTAATTATGTAGGTTACTGTAGTAGGAGTAGAGAGTAAATGAGGAATGATTTGTGTCCCTGAAAACATAAACTGATAATCACACTTTTTTTGATGGGTTACTGAGTAGAAAAACTTTTCTGACATAGAGATGCTGAAATAGAATTCAGCAAAATTACTATTTAAAATGAAAAGTTAAACATATTTAAGTTCATTATTAAACTTTCTTCAGAAGTACCTATAGTAGAAAACACATGGGGTACCTAATGTCAAGTGTGCATAAAGTGGATGTTTACTCTTAAAATAGGAATACATAGTGGTAACTGAACTTATTTAGGAATGTTAATTGAAAGTTGGGAATTCCCAACTGAGGGCATACCATTTAATTTAAATTTAACTATAGCAACTTCACATAGAAGGTCTTTATATGCAAGTAAGTGTACGTTTCTGTTATAAAAAAATTCTTAATAATTAATCTTAAAGGTCATAGTACAGGGAAGACTATGTAAACTTTCATTTGTTATAATGCTGTACATGCTACAGAAAAGCTAGGTTAATTTTTAGATACTGAACATTATATAAGGGCGATACTAAAAGATACTTTATTTTTTCCAATTAAAAGCTACCGTTTTGCCATTTGAAAAAGTAATTAGAACATATTAAATTTATTTTATTTAATGTGAATTCTTAGAATTATGAAAGGGAAGTAAGTCTGTGGTAGAAAGAATAATCTTTTTTTTTTTAAAGATTTATTTATTCATTCATACAGAACTGGGGTACAGGCCAGAGGCACAGGGGCAGTGAGAGGATCCATCAGAGATAGAGTTGGGAGCAGAACAGACCGACTGATGAACTACACTGCAGAGAGGGGCAGCAGTCGAGGCAGGAGAGGTCTGCGACGCCATGTGGATCACCTCTGGGGAGGGGGATTGAACTCGCACTGAAGCGGCTGTGGCTCCCTTGCAGTGCTTTAACTGCTGTGCCACCAGGGAGGGCCAGAAGAATCTTTTTTTATAGTAACCAACAAATATATTACTTGAAGTTACTTGATTTTATCAATAATGTGAGGATGTGCATAGATGCTGAGGGCATTATGTAGAAAAATAGCCCACCACGAAAAAAAAAAATGGAATAGCACTAGCTAAGTTCAAAGCCATGTTTCTGCAAATCTAATGTATCTATTCCACAAAATCAATATTTGTCTCCTTGTAAGGATAAACTACAACTTCAAAACGTGTTTTGAAAATAACTGCTAAAAACCTAGAAACAATGATTTTTAAAATGCTACAAGTTAATAAAAATGATTTTTAACAATGATTATCCCTTCCCTTTGAATTCTCATTTCTTTTTTCTTTTAAATTTATTTATTTATACATACAGAACTGGGGTACAGGCCAGAGGTGCAGGGTCAGTGACATGATTCACAGAGACAGAGTGGGGAGCAGAGTAGGCAGATCAACGAAGAACACTGCTGAGAGGAGTGGCCAGCGAGACAGGAGAGGTCTGCTGATACATGTGGATCACCTCTAGGGTGGGGATTGAACTTGTGCTGAAGCTGCTGTGGCTAGCTTGCAGGGCTATGTCCTGACTTGTTGAGCTACCAGGGAGGGCCTGAATTCTCATTTCTAATTTTATTTTAAAAAGAAATACTGGCAAACTACTTTAAATTAAATCACTATCCATCTATAATTTCTATGGTTAATGTGTTAGAAGTGAAAAATAAGCACATAGTAGCTGGAAGTGTTATGTAAGGCACAGAACTTATGAAAAAGAAGCAGGTATCAACAACAGGTCATTTCATAGTACCTGCTACATAGTAAGTATTCAAAAAAAAGTTCTTAGTGAATGTAGGAGAGAATAAGTAAATACAAAAGGGTTAAAAATAACTGGTTACTTATATTTGTTAAATCATCTGAAGTCTACATTTAAAATATAGGCAAAGCTGATGAAAAATTGATCAATCACTTTAAATAAATTTTGTATTTGAAGTTACATAAATTTACTCAAAATCCAAATTTGATGAGAGAACCTTGAATTTTAACCTCAGCACTGCCAATAACTAGGTTTGTAATAAAATTAGGTGATTTCTCAGCACTCCTTCTACTTTAAAACGATCACTTCCAAAGTATATTAAGAACTTAAACCTCTGAATCTATCCTATGGACTTTTGTTAAATCACATATTAATATCCATATTTGATACTAACATTTCTAAAGTTACGTAAGTTGGTGCCATTAAATAATGCCTCATCTAACAGTTATATAATTTCTTTATCACAAATTAATATGCTATATTTTAGGTATTCCTGAGATTGTTTTAAAGCTTAGCCTTAGCTACCTGTTTTTTTGATAAGGAACAAACCTCTGTGTTAAAAAAAAAGCCATTGGAGAATTGAGAATTAACAAATATGAAATGCTAAGAAAGTCATAGGCATATAGAAATACTAAATAAAAACCATTACTATTTTGATTAATAGCTATTAAATAATTTTCTTCTAAATCACTTCAACTTTTCTACATTTCTAATAAATGGTTCTGTTTATTATACATACTTCTAATAAATAGTGAAAGCCTAGCATAAGATTACTTTTTTAAATTAAAAAAACCCATCATTTTATGACAGTATAAAATCATCCTAACATGCACATGTATGAGACTTAAACTATAACCTTAAGCATCAATTTTAAGCTTAAATATTAAAAATCTTACTTACGGAATTGCTTATTCTCCTTTGGTAACTGAATTTTGTTTGTTTGACTGCTGCCTTCCAGGACAAACACAAAACTTTTTACTTCCTTATCAAATTCCTATAGAATAAAAATGAAAATTGTGATAACTGAAACATATTTTATTGGCTTACATTATAAATTGGAGCTGCAAACCTGCAGGAAAACCTAAGACAAGCTGAGGTAGCTTCTTCCTGTTGGTACAGGTTTCCTGTGAAATGGGGGCGGTGGGGGCTTGAGATCTTCTGGTGAGTGAATGAAAGCCTGCCTTGGATGTGAGCAGGGATGGGGACAGAGTTGGTGGTTGGAAACCTAAGAATAATGGAGAAATAATTATTTTAAGACTGAGAGAACAAGAGAATTGTGGCTTTTCTGGTTAAATTTATAGTATTATCAACATGAGAGAAAAATAGATATTTTCTTCAGTGGAACTGAGAAATTCGGATCCATCCAGAAAGAGGCAGTTGTCTAACTGGGGAATAAAGACAAGATTGGCATTTGCTAAGCAGACATGGTAAAGGACAAAGAACAAAGACATATAAAATCTAAACTGGGAAATGCTTTAAATTATGTACAATGGATTTTGGACTAGAGAGAAAAGGAAAAAAAGACAAAGGATAAAAAAGAAAATCTCCACACGGGGAGAAAACAGAATGGCCAATGTCCTAAAGGTCTCATTGAATCGAAGAACAAATATAGTATAAGTGACTAGCGAAGCAGCCTCAAGAACTGCAGATTATGTGTACGAGAGGAAGGCCTGGATGTCTCATGTAGTATTTTCAGAGGTCTTGCAGTTTTGTGGTGATAAGGTAGAGGGTGTGACAATGGGAATGAGAGCTGGAGTAGAAAGGAAGTGGTCATCAGAAATGAGTATATCAAGGAAATAAGATTTCAGGGGTCACCTAAAATCACAGCAGAACTTGCTATACAGAAAAGGTTTGTGAGTTGTATGCCATGATTTAGGAGTGGTGTCTGGGATGACTGCAGCCAACGATATCATGGAAAGGCATGGGAACGAATGAATAGGAAAATCGTTTTTGAAATCTGATCCTTTTAATTACAACCTTCACTCACATGTCTTTCCAGGATTTGTGGGTCTCTAATTTTTCTAACACTTACTTTCCAAATTACAGATGGGCTGCCAATGATCTTCCATCTTGCTCCAGGGTTTTTCCCCTGAGCACTAAAGATTTCAACAAATGCACCTCCCTAGAACACAGAAAAGAAAATTTTAAATTAAAGTGAAAGACAATGCAAAGGAGGAAATACTATCCATCACCTAATCTATAACCACTGTTCCAGACATCTATCAGTTAAGTAGATTTGGTAGGGAACATTATCCCTGCTATTACTCTCACTTTATACCTTGATTATATCTAAGCCACAGCTTTTCTCATTTGGGTCACCTCATTTGGGATTAATGGTTTAAGGTTACTTTAAAAGTATGATAAATACTCTATAAATTGTGCCATAAAGCCTTACCATTTTCTCAGAATGAGTTGAGGTTCATTTATTTAACATGTATATACCAGCTTATAAAACATTCTATTCAACCCAGATTAAAGAATTTAAATCCAATGCTCAATCCTGGCTAATAAATTCTGTATCATTTTCTCTGGTTACAAGCTTTCTAGGCATACTGAAATGACTTCCAGTATCAGCTCTGTTATTTTTTTACTATTTGATTTGGGATTTACTTAACATCTTGATTCTCCATCTGCAAAATGGGTTGTTTGATTCCACAGAACAATAAACATAATCCTCAAGCAAAATATCTCACACATAACAAGAATTTAATTGTGCCAGCATGATCACTCCAAAAAGGGCAAAATGAATAGTTTACTATTGGTCAACAAAAAGCTTAAGAGGAAATGTGGGAGGAGTTGATTCTTCAGTATTCCTTTAAGATCTTTTTATATATTCAACACTAATTAATATGGAAACCTATATAAAAACTGTACAATAAATAGTGGCCTATCTATAGTCATTCTATGTGTTCCTTAAGTAAACCCAAGAAAATGAAAGCACATGTTTGGTAGCAACACTAAACACAGTACTAAATGCTTATAAGCCATAATTAAAAAAAGAAGAGTTAAACAAGAAAATTATCTTAGTAAGAGAACATTGCAAGAACTAGAAAACTTGAAATGAAAACTATATACGGTTTTCTATTAAGGATTATTTGATAGGTATAAACAGTACCTGAACAAATCTGTCTGGAATTTTAAAAGAACTTCCAGCTTTTAATTTTTTATTTCCCAGTGATATAATTTTGCTTCTGTGTTTTAAAAGACACAGAAGTTAAAACCTTTCTTTTTCTTTAGATAGTATCATGTGCAAATTGTGTGTGGTTTTAAATTACTATAGCTTCTGGGGTTAAAGTGACCTTTCACTAAGAATTTTAATTAGAAGCAGCTTTCTTTAAAAGAAAATACTTAGTAAAAATAGAAATCTTTTTCATTTCCTGTTTTTTTTTTCTGTATTCAAAGCTTCCCATTTGATGTACTGTTTGTGTTCTTTTTTTTTTATACTTTACCTGATATGAAAGTTCTAAAAGTGTTCCAAAACATTTATTGATAGCAAATGAAATATATGAAAAGAGAACTACAGAATAGTGAGGACATACATAAGGAGGCGGGGTGATTGGTGAAAAGGTAGAAAAACAACATAGCGGTGAAGACCATTGGAAGACTGTTGGGAAGTTCATCATAACAGCAGGAACAGGATGGTGAGCAGATTGGAAAAAGAGTATAATTTAAAGCAGAGTGGGGAGAGAGGGTAGGGAACTCTGGCCGAGGAAAAGCAGTGAGTGAGATGCCCAGTGAGGCCCAGTAAAGCAGGCCTTGCATTGAGACTTTCTTCGATGTTCAAATTGATGAGGAATAACCAGAAGCAGTTTCTTTGGTCCAAATGTATCAGAACCAACTAAGGGAAATTTTTACAATGGTAAATGCCCCTCACAGAGATTCTGATTCACTGGTTCCAGCTTAAGTATTTGTTTCCGTGGTTTAATCTATTCGTGCATTCATTCATTCACTTTTCTAAATAATTTCTGGGATACCCAACGCACTTGTTAAAACTCAAGATTTATGGGCCCTGTGCTCAAGATTCGGATTCACACGCTTGGCTGGGTTTAAAAGCTGCATTTCCAGCAATCTCAGGCATCCAACATCTTGAGAAGCAGAATTGGTGATTGAACCACCACCAAATCATATACTCAAACTTTAATTGCTTCCTTTTCTTCTTTTTGAGTTGAAACCACTCGCCCACTATTCCTTCTTACCCCAAAAAATACAGCGTTACTGTTAAGGGGAAGGATGTCCTAAAGGAACTCTGCAGAGTTCCTTAAAATTACATTTTAAGCGTGCGGGTGAGGACCCACAGACAGCTCAGTTTCACTCTGGGCTACCCTGTAACATTACTGACGGGATTTCGGGGAGCTTTCTCGTCACCCCCAACAGGAGCTGCATCACCCAAGAGAAGAAAGCTACAGACAAGTTGGAGAGAGGTTTCGAGTTACCTGATACTCATTTTTGAACATTCCCGCAGGGGGCCCGAGGCTTGATGGGGTACAGAGTTCAGGGCTTCTAGAGTAGCGGACCCTGACGGCTGCAAAGTGGCGGGCCGGAACCCGGAGCCTACACACGGGGAAGGATTTCGTGCTTGGCCCCAAATCGATCAGGTTCTTCTCAGCCCCTGATCAGCTCCACCTCGGGCCCCGACTGGCGCCATCGCGGCCCCGGCCTTCAGGGTGCGCAGATCTGAGAAGGCGCCGCAGCTTGCGCGGGTTCTGGGCAGCCCCCGGGGAGTAACTGTGTGCGTAACCTACGTGACGCAAGCCCAGCCGCGGAGCCACGGAAAACTGCCCGCTCGCCCCGGGGCAGGCGGGCGCAGAGCCGTTGCCGCCCCGCCCCAAGCCTGCGAGACAGGCGGGGCCGCGCGCGCACCGTTCTGCTGCGCCCATTGGCTCTTACTAGGCGCCTGCGCGTTGCTCTGTAAGGGCATCTCACAGAGATCCCGAGAGGCTTCTGGGTGACGTAGACGATGCCTAGGCAACCGAGGGACTCTGAAATGGTGGCGCGCTCAACCTGTGGCCCGCCTTGTATTCAGGTCAAGACCTGTGTTTGCGGAAAAGCCAGAATTTAGCCTGGTGTAATATACATCCCAGGTGTTGGGCTCTTCTTGTGGACTTAATCTCTCTGCGACTTAAATACTGATAAATGATAACTTCTGAGGAGAGAGTCGTGGAATCATGGAACCCTCGCGTGGCCTTTGGTTCGAAGGTTCCCAAACTTGTCTTCGTTGAGGTAGGAATAGGTCCGCTAGCCCCTTTTCCTCTTTCAAAAGACCCAAGGAAATAGTTAACATCGACTCAAGATAACCGCACACGTTAAAAAGTCAAGTTTTTTTTTTCTTCACAAAAAAATAACTATGTATATTATTGAGCCAGGTGTACCCAAGTCTATTTGATTGTTTCAGGTCCTATGTCAAACCACTTTTAACAGGATGGATGTTATTGTCGGGTTTTGACTTAGGAACTGTGTTTCAGAATAGCTTGCCCAGTATTACAGAGCCCATAAGTGATGGAGCTGGTTTGTACATCTTATACTGTTCTCAAGACTGAGTTAAATTCATGACATTGGGTTATTAATCAACTACCACTTATGAAGCCCCTTCTAAGGTAAGGTGGCTTACAGGTTTATAACCTGATGAGGTAAGGGTTAGTCTTCTTGAGATTCAGAGTTGGATAGGAATTTACTCAGCGTTGAGTTTTAGTATGAGTCTGATAATCTGCTACATGCAATACTCTTTCAAATATTTGTTGTCCCTACAATTTGTCAAGCTCTGTGTTAGTGTACAGGCTGAGAAAATGAATTCTATCTGTATTTGCTTCTTATCTAGGCTTAAGGACAAGGAAATGAACTCCCTTGAGCATACTAAGTCTGATGCTATGTATGTTTAAGCAGAAGCAGAGGTCTCCTGTATTTGTAAATTGCAGTGCAATGTCTAGAATCCATATAACCTAGTTTCTAAAACTCAACCCTAATACAACAGTTTATCGCCAGGCTTTGTGCTTTGGTCTTAGGGAATTAGAGAGATTTGGTGTTTGTCTTATAAGTCATGTTGTCAGATGTGGTGGTATTTATCCATTCTTTCATTAAACATATAATTCCTAGAAATGTGATGTGTTCTAGTCTATGATAAGCACGGAAGAGCTAGGTATACTGGGAAAGACCTCTGTCTTCATGGTGTTTATATATAAATGGGGTGAGATAAATAATAAATGAGAAAAAAATTACATTATGTGATAAATGACATGATTTCAGTGATGGGCAGTTACATTGAAAGAGTATGTTAATTTCCTTTATCAGGTGTAGCAAATTCTCACAGATTGGGTACTTAAAACCAAAATGTACATTCTCTCACGGTTCTGGAGGCCAGAAATCCAAATTCAAGGTGTTAATAGGGTGACACACCTTTTGGAGCCTTTAGAGCAAAATCTGCTCTTTACTTCCTCTAGGTTCTATGACTTTTGCATTCTTTAGCTTGTATCTCTGTCTCTCCAGTTTCTGCCTCCATAGTAACACTCCCTCTTCTGTGTAATTTCTCTTCTGCATCTCCTTACAAGGACACTTGTGATGTCATTTAGGCCCCACTTGGATAATTCAGGGTAGTTTCCTTATTGCAAAATCCTTGATCATAACTGCAAAGACTCTTTTCCAAGTAAGGAAACATTCCAGAGGTACATGTTGAAGGTTTGGGTAGAGGGAGACTTTTTCAACCTAACACAATGGATCAGCTGTACTATAATATGAAGTAGTTTTTGATAAAGGCTGTAAGAAAATTAAAAAATTCAGTTGGAGCACAGAAGGTTTCTAGGGGATTCATAATGTCTTTAAGAATCTATTTGGGGTCTCTGAAAAGTATCTTTGGACACCATCCTTAAAGGAAACCCACAACTTTGTCCTATGTGATTTTCTTTCAGCCACCTGTCATTATCTGAATTAATTAATAGATTTATTGTTTGTCTTTAGCTTTTTGAAGGTAAATCCTCTGAGGGCAAGACAATGGTAATCATCAGATGCTATCTCTAGTAGTCCCTAGCACATATAGATATTTTATAAGCATATATTTATATATTAAATTAAAAGTACTTTGTTCTTTCAAATTGGCTGTGTCCAAAACAAAGCTTCCCCAAACTTGGGCTTTTTCCATTTTTCCCAATATCATTAATACCACAGTGCCTCCTACTTCTTCACTCCCTGTGGTGAGAATGTTCTCTAGTGGTCTCCAATGACTCCACCTTTTAAATAACCCCTTTTGTGTAGACTGGGCCTAGTCACTCACTCCTAATGAATACAATATGGCAAACATGCTGAGAGGTCATTTCCAAAGTTAGGTATCAAATGGACTGTGACTTCTGTTTTGCTGGCTTTCACTCTCCTGCTCTGAGTCTCCTCTACACCATTTCTGTCCTTAGCCTGAAAGACTTTTGTATAGTCGTCTTGGTTAGATTACTTTTGCTTCCTCCTTTCTTTAGTTAAAGCCTTTTTACCTATAAATATAGAGTTTAGACCAATGATCCCTTTCTCCATAACACCTTCTTCTGATCTCCCTGACTTAATCAGATTCCCCAATTTTTAGGTTCTCATAGCATCTTAGAGTCACTGAAATTTTATAGTTTGTGTTAGTAATGGCCATTTCTACTGGACTATAGATTTCAAGAGAGCAAGGCCTGTGTATGCTTTGTTTATCCTTGAGTCTCCAGTGCCTGGTTTACTGGTATAACAAAAGAGTAATTGAAAGAATTAATGAATGAGAGAGGGAGGAAGTGAAGGTTGAATATATTCTTAAGGGACAACCATAAATTATGGTGTTGAGAAAGCAAGAAGAAAGCAATTGAAGGTAAATTAGGATGAATCAATAACCTCAACTTATTGATGGAAAAATAGTTACAGTGTTGAATTGATTAATCACTGTGTACCAGTTAAGTTTCATTACTCAGGATGTTTTTATTTTGTGTCACCTGTCTATTCAATTTAGACTAGAAGGGACCAATGTCATTTATTTTAATCTCCTATTTCTTTGAGAAAAACTAATTTCTGATGCCCAGTTGTCCAAAGGTTAGGACATCTCCTAAGCCTTCTAACTCCTTACAAGTTCGGGAGACTTACAACTGAATTTCCATTAGCAAGTGAGATACAGGGCCTATCCAGGCAGTGGGCAATTTGAAAGGCTTGACAACTCAGATCAAATTTGTTTTGTACAAATCAAATCAAAAACAGCCCCCTAGATTCTGCAACAGATGGTGGCTGCCAAAGGGGAAGGGCAATGATGGGCACAACAGACAGAAAAGGCTACTTAGATGGTGGATGGTAACTGTGCCTTTGGTGGTAGATGGGGTGTGCTATGTACAGTTGTCCAAGTGTGAAGCTATAGTTTTGAAAATCACACAGTGATATGTACCAGTATTACTTTGATGGAAAAAAAGTAGTTTGTCTATGGTGAGACCTATGCTTTGACCCAATAGTGATGACTGCAAAGCCAAGTAAGAATGTGTACAAAACGATGTGAACTCATTACCAGAGACAGATAAAGCTCTGCTTTTATAATGTCAAATGCTCTTTGATTTAGACGAATATAAACTATGACCAAAAGAACAGGGATTTGATTAAGACTTCCAAAATGTTTACCAGAATTCAATTTAGCCCTTGTGTACTCAAAAACAAAACAAAACAAACAAAAAATGACAAACCCAGCCTGTCCAAACAACTTTACTTAAGCTAAGTTATTTATATATACTTGAAAATGCAGTGAAAGTTTCTTTAATTGCTACAATTTATAAAGAAGTTGGTGCATTTAGTAATTGCATTAAAATTGCTTAACTTAATTTGATATTAAGAATTTGTCATTTTATAAGCTCTAATGTACTTGTCTTTGTTCTACAAAAAATTGATGGCATATTAATATGTTAAAGGATATTGGACTATATTTAAAATGGAATAAACTAGAAACAGTTTTAAAAGTGTGGTAGATTTTTAGTGTGCCAATCTACTCTTTCAAGTTTGGTGATGTTCTTATCAACTTGACATTTGAACTAAGAATGAACAGTATTTACTACAATATAGTGTGGTTTATATTTTAGTTACAGTTCATGATATATCTGGCTTTATGGGAAGGAAAAAGACATTGGTTTGATGATAACAATTTGTTTTGCTTCACAATCTGAAAATGTTTAGTGCTTAGAGTGCTATTTTATTCTTTTCCACATTAGAGAATAGTTTGATGGGTAACAATAGTGCCAAGTTGACAGAATAATTTAAAAACTGTGCCTATTTTATAGTTTTAAATAAGATGGAAAAAGTGATACCTGAGTCATTCATTTGACTTTTGAGAATAGTGACATCTTCTCTTTTCAAAAAGTTGTTTTTGAGGGTTTTGCTATTTGTGGATTTTTCCACCTTAAATTTTGTTTCTGTCTCTTCGGTCTGTGAGATCCTATAGTGGCTATTTTATTCTTGTACTTTTATGCATGCAAACATTTCATAATTTATGATGCACTTGAAATTTCCAAAACTTGAATATTTTGCTTGGATAAAATATGTGTACATAATGAATGGTTAGGTGTGAATATTTCTATAAATAAAATAGGTTTATATAGCAAGTACTTAGGTCTACAAAAGTTAACATATTCTTAAGATGCAATTTTTCAAAGGTTAAGAAGTGATTTTTTTTTCTTTGACAACCAAAAAGTCATAAGTTTGAGCATCTGCATTCCTACAAAGCATTAGGTGGAAAAAACTCTTCCATTTTTTCATAAAATTTTTGAACTAAGTCTGAAAAGTAATGCAATGAGCATGCATAT